TGGAACTTGGTGTGACATACGGGTCATTTTCCTCCGGCTCGGCCTGGAATGGAAAAATTGACGTAGCAACAACGGTAGGATGTTAATGGATTCTAGAACTGAAAAAGCCAAAAAGAAAGAGCTTAGAGATACCAACACTATCCCAGAAGCCGCAGTAAAGATAGCCACTTGAAAAACCGATTCTCTACAAAACTGGAACTGCTATCGTAAAAACCCTTAAACCATGGGTATTCGGATTAACGACCGATCATCACTGCGTGAACGGTCTACCCGAGAGTGCGATGTTAAAAGAGATGAGACCTTAGTGTTAAAAAGCCAATGCGAGCCACTCAGAGAGGGGTGTGGCGCGAGAGAAATTAGCGACTCATATTGGAATTAGGATAACCTAAAAACCTCACAGCGATTAACTCCACCACCACAGCAGCTAGAACAAAGAAAAAGTAAGTATAGCTGCAAGGTAAAAATTTCGCTAGTGGAAACCTCAATGAATAGTGCGAACTAAGCAAACGTTGAAAAAAAAAACTGCAACGACATCCGCAACCCACTCCATCAATATCCAGTCCATTTAACAGGCTGTCCAATCTGACTCCGTCGTCGTCAGTGGATGCTGATGCACTATCGCTGATAGGACCTAGTAGATCCTCAATAAGATTTTGAGCAGACTCAGTTGGGGAAGGAACAGGCGGTAGGGATGGCTCCGAAGACATTGAAATAATATCCTAAAAATTGAAATTTGAAATTAGACAGGAAAAAACCTGCTCAAAAATCGTAGCAAACTCACATGTGCAATGTCATCACTGTTCACAGCTCGAACACTACGAAGACGAGCTGCTTGCAATACTTGCATCCATTCATCTCGAAGTTTATTCGATGAGCACTCCAAAAGGTAGACATCGTTACCGGATCTATAATTATATCACCTTCTCAGTGTTGAAGTATCCATAGCAGAAGAAGAAGATAAGATGTGCACGTTAAGGCAGGCAATTGAGTGCAATGAGCATTCACGCTCGATACGATTCTGCGTTTGGAGGAAAGCTGAGATTAGCGGCGCAGGGGGGAATCGACCGCAAGTTTCTTAAGCACGGAACGTCAGTAAGACATAATATAATTATTCAAATGACGTCGGATGAAGAGGATCTCGCAAATAACATATGTAGCTTAAAAACTAATACTCATCAATGGGAAAAGTTAACGCAAGAACCGAAAATTTCTTAAAAACTGCATTTCAAAAACTTGGACCAAACCTTTTTTAGCATGTTTTCTTACACCATTACCTCAGTTTTTGCAGTTGTACAGTTCTGTTAAACACATTCATCCGTTCAGTTTGATGTTTCTATTTTTTTT